ATCAGACCTTTACGTCTATAAAAATGTATGTAATTGCGTATATTTGTATTCATACCATATCCGTATATTTCTAATGTGTGTGTATACAATACAGAGTGGCGTTTCCCCTTGGGTTTTAATAAAGGGTCTTCTTATCTTATTTAGGAAGACTATCTACCTCCAGCCACGTTAATGTTTGCTGCTTTAAAAAAAAACAACCATGTCAGTGAGATGTGAGCTTCACAGAACGCATCCCAACAGTTAGAGGAGATAAAAACATTTGACTAACAGACTAACTTGGTGCTGAATGTCACCTGAAGGCAGCATATCGCACAAGGGGACAGAGCTTATCGCTGAGCCCTGTTGCTACGAAACCGTCAGCCCCCCCTCCCCCCTTCAATAAATCCAGGGTTTAATAGGACCCCTATCAGGTAGAAGAAGGATTCCATTAATGCCAGCTGGGAACTGGAGGAAGGTGCTGGCCTACAAGGCGAGGCTCTGCAGCAGTAATACATTAGCAAACACCATGAAACACTGCATAAATGTCAGCAATTACTGCCCAGAATGAAGGATGATGGGGGGGGAGGGTTTGAGGCGATGGGGGGGGTGTAATAAGGATGTCCCACTGGCTGTCAATCACTCCCAACAGGTGTGGAAGACAGGCTGTAAATCAAAAAGGCTCCAATGAGATGTGTGGTTTAGGCGAAGGAATAGAAGGGGCGGGTCTTAATTTGAATATTTCCAACAGGAAGTTAATGTCTTGTTGGCTTCTTATATCAACTGTTGCCAAAACATTATCTTCAACACTGGATCAGGAGATATTGGAAGACACAGCTAGATGATTACACTAGTCATTGTACTGATCCACCTGGAGTACAATTAACTCAAACAAGTTTTAACTAGTACATTGCGGTGATGAAGTAAACCATGTGACAATTACAAAGACATGCAAAAACACACAAAAGACAGTGTGCTTCTTCATATGTCAAATACAAACTGTTCCTAGAAATAAAAAGGCAACAATGGGATCAAATATATTCAAAAATAAATCAATTCAAATGTCTGACATGATGTTGGGCAGTCATGCGTCATATTAAAGTCAATAAATACATTAGCTGTCCCATTTGAGGGTTACATTTCCGAGTTCATGAGATTAACAAATAAGTGGAACAGAGATAAATGAATGCGGCAGTTTAACACACACAAATATGTCAGAGCACTGCATGACACAAGCTGCCTGAAATGAGCATCACCTCACGTTGCTACTGCTTCAAAAACACTTCCTTTTAAACTCTCCCTCCTCGCTCTGACATGAAATACAATAACACAGCGCACTGAATGAACCGATCTGTTGTTCAGAGCTACTCGAACACTATCCATCATGATCCAATTTCAACTCTCCATAAGGCCTTGAACAACTCAGAGCACAATAAACAATGAAACACATTGAGTGGACAGTATCAGGAAGAGGGGGGGGACAACACTTAACTACTAGTTTCCCTGAAAGGTGAGAATTTCTCTCTGACTAAATAATTCCCAACACTCAAACAATACATAAACAAACAATGCCACCACTCAAATGTCTCTTTCCCAGGACACAAGAACTTGACATAGATACTCTGAACAAATTGATCAATTAGATGAACTATAGTGAGAAAATATATGTGCATCTTGAGCCTCTACACTAAGGAGTGTATAATGAATGAAACTTGTAACCGCAGCGTCTACACTTAATAAGATACTGTGTTTATAAATTACCAAACTGTACCAATACAAAAATTACACTTTATCCAAAAGTCTCTAAAAATACACGTAAAAAATTATCTTGAATACGACATACATTTTTTTATATTTTGGCTTTAAGTGTAAGCTAAGGTGGGGGGTGTATTTTAGAAAATAGTTTTCTACTTTTTACATCCCAAAAGGAATCAATAAATCCGATGGGGCTCAATCTAGACTACTCTGGTTGGCTTCTCCTTTGTTACCTAACCCTAGCTCTACTCATCTTATTGTACTTGTATAATGACAATAAAGGATTATATTCTAATCTACCAAGCTTAAAAAAGAACACAGACAAATATTTAAAACAATTCTGAAAAAGTAAGACCTAAACAACAAAGGAAAGATTTTAAGAAACCTTTTTTTAAATGTCGATAGCTTTGTTGAAACTAATAATGTATTGAGGTTTGATACCCGGCGCCTGTGTGTGCAATAAGACAAACCCATTGCTAACACACACATTTTAGACTGTGTAAATATATTGACATTTAATTTTATCTCGTTGCACTGTCATCGCTACTACCTCTGCTTTTACCACTCTAATTTATTTGTGTCTATTTTTACTACTGCGAGAGTTGCCAAAGAAATGTCGTTGAACTTTGTATGATGACAAGATATATTCTATTCAAATGCAAATATGCCCAACACACACACACATGCAAGCCAGGTAAACAGTGATATCACTCACTTTAAGGAAAAGCAAAGTTAAGTAGTAATCGATTCCACTAAAAGCGGGCTAGTGTGCGCAGCTAAGTGTAATCTGGGGCCTCTGGCTGCCATGTTTATTGGTTCAAACCCCGGGAGATGAGAGCGGCCTAATGAGCTCCACAGCCAAACCCTGGGCTTTCTCTGTTAATACCTTCAGACGTTTCAATAAGAAGGGCTGTGGCTGGAGCAGAGGCCATTATTACTCTTCTGTCTCCGCGCTTTTTTAATATCTCCTCATCCAGGAAACAGACGCTGCAGATGTGTGTCAGCCAGGTGCCAAGCGGGGCCTATAAATGCCACAATGAGCTGCAATCTATTCATGATCCCTGGCACTCATATCGGGCCGAGGTTAACCAGAAAGGCAGACCACAAAAGCACAAAGGTAATAAATGGAAGGATTTGACGTCATCCTTACTTATCTAAACAATGCATAGAGATGGATAGGACCTGCTTTGAGATGACATTCACTAACCTGTTTGCTCTACTGGTTTTTAAAGTATTAGGTTACATATTTTTGTTGTAAATTAAATACATAAAATACTACTTAAATGCACAATATTTTTTCCATAACTATTTTAGTAAACGTGTCGTTTTTTATAACATATCAAATATTATTTTGATAATGTGTGTTTTTTAAATATTGCTTTTTCTAACAATTAAATAATACATGAATAAATAGCTAAATCCAGTTTCATATATTTTCAAACAATTGTTCCTTTGCAAGTTATTTGAGAATATGAAGTAAAGACATTTTAAGCAGAGTTTATATTTAGGTTTGAGATGTTAAATAATTTCCATGGATCACTGCCATAAACTATCATTTGTAATATTATATACCGCGTAATCCAAAATGATTTAATCGCTGAACCTGTTGAAGAAATGATCCATTTATTACCTGGTATTGCATCACAATTTAAATCTAGGCTAGGCAAACCAATATGCCTTGTTAGCAAAATGGAGAAGAAAGTAATCTGGTGCCAAGCTACACTGAGGTCAGTCATTTTAACACATGGCCACAATGTACTTTCAGATTTAAACTAAGATTTGTCTCTCTGTAGCGATTCCACGTTGTTTACTGATCACATAACTGGAAGACAACAAAGATTGTGCTAACAATGCTAAATCTGCATCATAGTGCTTTGGTTTGTTCTGGGTTACGGGCCTCTGCTCTGAGCTGTAATGGAACAAATTAAAGCAAACAACCTCCTGTAGTGAAAGGATGCATAACCTTTTGTCCTTTGCCCTTTGAAACACATTAATGTTGTAATGTATTTGCTCACTGTTAATCTTCAAAGCTTTCCTTCGAGGAATAACAGCAGGTGCCATTATTGTTCACTCACTGAGTTTTGGAACCAAAATTGAGTTATATAACGCTAAAACAATGTATAAAGAAAATAGGTTATTCTTATGATAGATAGATAGATAGATAGATAGATAGATAGATAGATAGATAGATAGATAGATAGTGGGATAGATAGATAGATAGATAGATAGATAGATAGATAGATAGATAGATAGATAGATAGATAGATAGATAGATAGATAGATAGATAGATAGATAGATAGATAGATAGATAGATAGATAGATAGATAGATAGATAGATAGATAGATAGATAGATAGATAGATAGATAGATAGATAGATAGATACAAAAAACAATATAAAATATTCTGGATAATTAAAATAAAAAGTCAAAAATACGACAGGATCCAAAATACTACAGGTCTTCTATGAGAAAGGAGAAACTCAAACTCTGTAGCAGTGAGTTCTCTGCCAGCCAGAGGTGAGGTGTTGAAAAGTATTATTGCAGACGGCAGCTAAATAATAGCTAAAAAAGTACAATACCACGATATACAGATCCTCTGTTGCTACAGTAGAGCTAGTTCTGCACATACGATACCACTCGGAGACAAAGTCAATACCAATATTTCAAACCAAACAATCGCACAGATCTAAAAAGGAAAACGTTAGCTAGGTGCCAACACAAGAATGTGTGCACAACAGCTCCTCAATGTAGCATGATAAACCATCCCATACAATTAGCATGGGAACACATAGGCTGTCAAAGAAGGGGTGAGACAAAAGGGGTCAGAGGTTCCTCAAGGTTCTGTGCGAGGGCCGCTTCAGATCAGCCTGACTGTGAATGGCTGGGAAGAGCGACCCCTGGCCGCGAGAGGTCACCGGGACTCAATGATGTGAGCTTTAATGTCCACAGATAAGAGGACGCAGGATGGGAACCGTCTTTGACATCTTAATTAGCTCCAACATCTTACTCTCATGCTTCTGACAGATGGTTTCGTGACGTCCGACAGACTGTGGAACTGTTTCCACTATTGGTATTAAAATGAGGTGTATCGATCATTTGGGAACAATGGGCTTCTTTTTTTTTAACAGAAGGTCATTATCTTGGATCACAGAATGAGTGAGGTAGCGTTTATAGTACTCAGAGAAGTGAAGGAAGATGCTACATGTGTTCCTATTATTGTAAGGATGGGTAACAAACGTTATATTGTGTGTTTTAATGTGTTTCTTACCGAATCATCAGATGCTGAGGCGGGCCATCCGTCCCACTGTTGATGCCGGACTGGGATGTTGGTCAAGTCTGAAACGTTTCTCTTCACCTGCAAACACAGAAAGAAATATCTAATTATTGGTGAATATTAAGGAGTTACAAGAGTTAAAATACCAAAAGCTCAACTATCAAACTCCATTCAGACTTTTTATGAAGTTGTATGAAGATTATATATATATGCTTTATTCCATCAGGGCTGTACAATTCAGAATACATAGTTAAATTACTGACTTTAGATTGATATTGCAATATAATATCATTTGAAAAACGTATTAAAATGATCACGGTGGTAAATAAATATATGTTTTGTTAAGTCTGTAGAATTAGGCAGGGATTCAAAATGGTATTTTAACACATATTCAGCCTTCAATAAAAATGGTGCTTACTTGGATTTAATATTGGACTAATACATATTTCGATTACATTTTTTAGGTCTATTTACCATCCCTGTCAGTATGAAGTAATAACATAACTATAAATGCCTTATTTAATAGTTTATACAATGTCTGGGGCAACATCAAAGTATCCTCCATTCAGCAGCATGAGGATGGAGGCAGAGAATGAAGGAGGAGATGAGTCAAAAGGGGAGAGGAGGAGAAAGAAAATAAAAAACGACAGGCAGTGTTATCAGCATTCTTCAGATGCCACAGCTAATGCCCAGCAACAACAGCCCCACGCTCTGAAATGAACAGTATTTCTCTTTCCCCATTCATGCGCGGACGCTGTATCTGCATCACTTAATAACATTCCATGCTTTTAAACAGTTAGCAGCCAGCCGCCGCGTTACACCGTCCACTGGGTTGTTGGTTTAAAGCCCTCACGCCAGCCTGATGTGCGCCAGCCGAAGCTGATCAAAGCCCCCGTCGGCGTCTGAGCGCTGGCGGCCGTGGATTCTACTGCATTTGTTCTGCAGAATTCTGCCTTTTGAGGCCCGCGGCGCTGGACGCTGATGCTGAGAAAACTGTCAATTGTGGAGCGAAGATCCCTGTACAAACGGGTCAAATCCTGTCTTTGTAAAAAGCACTGCAGAGAGATGGATCCTTGGGCATATGCAGGGCTGCTGGGCACGGAGGTGGAAACTTAAATACGCTACAAACACAAAGTCAAAGCCAATGTCAAGCAAAGCAGGAAAGCAGCTGCAGAACACTGAGTGGAGGAGACTGCGGGGGCGTGCTCTGCCTGGGTCGTTCTTCTTAAAACTATCGTTTCAGCTACATTTTTCATCTGCAAATGTACTCGGGGTATCAAAGTCACACTCTGCAACATTCATATCGCAGTAAACACAATTTGTTGTTGGAAAATATCCAGTTGAAGCATTATGGAGCTAGTATTCTACTTCAGACTTAATAACAAATCCTTATTGGGTACAGATCCTCTTGGATGTATTTTATTTTCTTTGCTTTTTTAATGACTGTTTTGAAATGCCATTTTCTGAATGTCTTTCATTTTTGTAAAGCACTTTGAATTGCTTTGTGTTGAAAGGTGCTATATAAATAAACTTGCCTACTTCATTGTATTTTTAAATGATAATGTGAAAAAAAATTGTGATCATAATAGCAATATCTGTCGTAATAATCATTATACGGTTGTTGTTGTTGTTGTTGTTTTAATCACACAGCCCTTATATTTCTTCTGTAGGTGTATGAGAGAACACATTAGGGGCCGCTTACAGATCCGATTATATTACAATATGATAAAGTATCCCTTTATTAAAGGCAACAGTAAATACTTTTATCAAACTTATCAATCTCTTGAGGAAGCGATATTTCATTTGTGCTGGGCCTGGCACTGCAAAGCAATTTAAAGGACAAACAAGGTTGAGAAACAAATAAAAGAACAATAATAAATGAGTGGCACAGTCCACCCTTTTGTCTTTCTATCGTAAATCCCACAGCACGCTGCTCGCTGCCTCTCTTATGAAGAGACGCCACGGCCAGGATGGCAGACTGGGGTCAGAGCGGGTGGCCAGTGTTATTACAGAGTGTAATATCTGTGTTTGACCAGCCGGACTACAGGGATTTGACTGACCGGCTGGCCAGCAGATGAATAGAGGGGGGAAGAGGGAGGAAAGGAGAGGCATAAACACTAGTAATGAAGAGGCAGCAGTCAGAGGTTAAAGCAGCATCAGAGAAACAACAAACTGACGCCCACCATGGAGAGGATGAAGGTGAGAGGTGGTGGAGGAGGCAGGGGGAGACAGACGGACAGAGAAAGGCACCTGGCAGAGGCCAACCTGGACTCAACACAGACAAAACACACCTGAAGCAGAATCTGCAGACACACCATAGGAAAGGTATGCTGCCATTAGGAGAATCTGATGCAACCATATATCGAAAACAACCGACGAATGGAGACACAGGGTGACACAATGTCTCGTCTGTGATTCTGCAGGTAGCTTCAGTTTTTGTTGCAAAGCATTGCATGTGATGGCCACAGCATATGAGCAGCAATCAAGTCTGATGCTGCCCCCTGTCTGCCACTGCTGCCATCTCACTGATAACGTACATAGACTGCAACAAACAAACACAATTGTATTTCATTCACTAGTTTTAGCACGTAGATTTACTGAGAATTAACAGCTGAAAACGGGTTTGGCTTTTTAAAAATGAGTATTTTAAGAGTATATGACACCGGGCTGTACATAGCGTAATAAACCCTGCACCTTATATGTATCTGCTCTTATCAAAATACATGTATTCATATTTATACTTTATTGTACATAGATCTGATATGTGCATTTATTGAAACCTCATGCACTTTACGGCTGGATGCAAACTGCATTCCCGCAGAACATGGCACCAAAGCGACTTGGATATACACACTCAAATGTAAAGGAGCAGGATTTAAATCCAAGTCTTAGTAACAAATATGGAGCTGTTGATTTGTGTGTTGAGATGAGACAGGGGTGTAACGAGCCAGTTACACACAACATGAGTTAGACTGGCTGTGGTGCTGGGCTGCTGGGCGATACGCCTCACGGCAGAATTAATGATCCAATCATTGTAAATGCCAATTGCCTGTAATCCCTGGCTGGAAGCGAATCAAAGAGGGGGAAAGGTTTCCGTTAAACAGTCACAAGCTCTCTCTCGCCGTCTTTCTTCGTCTCCCTTAGGCGCCAGATGCCTTTTCTTTCATTATTTTATTCGATCCGACCTTCCCTTCTTCTCAGCTCTGCAGCCCTGTATCTCTCTATGTCTCCCAGCTGCGGAGTGGAGATGGGGCCCAGGCCCAGAGGAGGGAAATCCCCAGGACAACTGCTCTGGTCACGGACACCCCGAAACCAGCAGCCATCCCCATTCTTACCCTCTACTTCGCTGGCAAACATTTGCTCTGCAGCTTAGCTCAGAAGCTAGCCAGCAACTTACCCCCACACTCTTGTCTGGTAACGCCAATCAGAGTCTACACAGTCCAGAGATGGAGAAGAAAGAAGGTAGAGAAGGGGAAGATGGAGAATGAAGGGATCGAAAGGGAGGGGCAAGGGCAGATCCCTGAGAGCCACAAGGCAAAGCCAGAGCCTTTGGCAAAGACAAACAAGAAGACAGGACTCCATCCCCATTGATATGCACAAGCAGGGACCATCGGCTAGTCTTCAGCTAAGACAAAGGGGAGAAAGGAGAGAAAGGTGCTCTGTAGTGGAGTCCATATGTGTCTGAGAGTGGACACAGTTTGAGCAGAAAGGGGAGTCAGGCCGACTGAATATGCTGTTACTTCTTTGTTGCCTTCTTAAGTCTTCTTATGATGTCAGGACTCCCTCTGTTGTTTTGGTCTGTTATTATTGTTTTTGCTTTAAATCTTCACAAACTAACTCAACATGAATCCTAAAACAGCTTTACTATGTCCATCCACATTTACTATTCATCTTCGTCTACTGTTGTCGCACCTGTAGCTCGCAGCTCTGACGTTTAGAAATGTTCCCTACATAGTGTGTACTCTCGGTTTAAGTTACACCTATTAAAACAGTATACTTTGCACCAAGGCACATTCCTCTGAAGTTTGAAAAATGATACCCATTTCTGCACAACAATTACATTTAGAATAGATTCAACTTCACTGTCAGTGTGAAAAGTGGTAAAGAGTATATTTACATGTGTAGGAAAAACTTCTGAACATATTATTCAATTCAAGTTTATTTATATAGCCCAAAATCACAAATCCTATTTGTCTCAGAGGGCTTCACAAGTCAACAAACACAATACAGTTAGAGTACAATAAATACAATTCCATAAAACGAAGGGTCCATCAGGATGTATAAAACCAGTCTTAACGGTACGCTGCACTAAAAAGGAAAGTCTTTGACCTGCTCTTAAATGTGTGGAGACTGCCTGCCTCCCTAATCGTCACTGGAACAGATATTATGGAGACTTCTTAACCTCTCCACTTTAATTGGGATGTATTGTATATTATTTCACGTTAATATGTCATTAGTTTTCTCTTTCTCTATTCTTAAGCTTTTTGTACGCATTTCTATTTTTTTTAAATATGGTTTATAATCCTATTTTTGTTTATTATAATAATATAATAATGATAATTTGACTGTGTCTATGTTGTGCACCATTACACCAAAGTAATTGTCGTATTTGAAAACCTCCTTAGCAATTAGCCGGATTCTGTTTCTGATATTATTTGCCAACACGTTGCAGCAATAAAAAAGGAAGGACGCCGGTTCCCTGGCTAAAGAGTAAATAATAAAGAGCTTGGTCAACATGGGGCAAACAGAGTGCAGATCTTTGCAGGTTAAAGTTGTGGGCCTCATTTTCCCTGCAGGGGGCCTTGAGATGCCTAAAGACAAGCATGCGTAAGGAAAGGAGCGCGACATGAAGGCCTGTTTAAGCCCACATTGTCCCCTCTCCATCCCCTATGGCCTCTTACAGCACCCCCACCAAGCCAACAGTCCTTTGCCTCCTTTCTGTGTCCATGCTTCCCCCCTCCCACACTGCAGGGACCCCTCCCCAGTGTTTGTAATCCCAGCAGAAACACTTAAGGTTCACAGTGGGTGCTCATCAAAACCATCTGCCTGAGAAGAGGGTGAGAGAGAAGACGGAGGGAGGAGGAGAAGGAATAGCGAGGGAGAGAAACTGCCTCCTCCAGTTTGTACTAATCTGTTCAATTACCACCATTACAAGCCCGGCTAGTAGCCTGATTATTATTAGTGTAATCTTCACCCACGCTGAGAGGACGCAGAGAGCGAAGAAGCGTAAGAGGAACACCTTTCGCTGCTGCTGGAAAGTAAATAATTAGATGGATGTTAAAACATGGAGACTCTGAAGAAGTAAAACAAACGAACGGCACCCCCGGAGAGGCCAATTCATGCGCTGCTCAGATGGTCCCCGTTTTACAAAATGTACTAAAAAAAGTTCTCTACTCAAGTATATTTTTTTAGGTACATATTCTATCCTTGAGTATTTTCATTTTATACTACTTTATACTTGCAGACATTAAACTATACATTTTGGCAGCTAATATCGTACTTCTTACGACGGAAACATTTTGAAACGCAAAAATGAAATCAGCTAATACACTATGATGTACTATTAGGGATGGAGATACCTGGCAATATAACAAGTTATTAGTGTAAAGTCGTCTTTTACCAGCTGCAAAATGTAACATGAATCATTTCAAACCAGTGATATAATATATATAATTTTAAAATGGCCACTTTGGTACTTAAATATATTTTTCTGCCAATACTTTTGCTTAAGTTACGTATGTGATGCACAGCTTTTACTTGTCGGTAGTAAATCTACACTGTGGTATGATTACTTTTAGTTGGGAATCCTCCAATGTTGGTCCATGAGCTTTTAAAAGAACTCCACCTGTTTCCACTGCACCTTAGTCAACACTCAAACACACTTAAATTGTTGTAGTAATTTAAAGAATGAGTCAATTAAGAGTAATGCACCAGCACTCACATTGATTTTGCTTATTTAAATGAAAAGTACATGCCGGTTTCTTACAGTTATGAGTTTGTATGGTTTATTGCACTAATTAGTTAGTCACAAAGCACCAGGTCAATTAAACGTGATTTAATATTGTTCCCAAACTTCACTAAAGAGTCAGGGACTTCCCCTTTCTGATTATTCTGCCGCCACAGAATGCAGCACAAATGCCCCAATGTGAATAAGTAATAAATGACGTATCTGTTCAAAAATGTAAGCGGTTACTCCCCGGTTCATTCTACACCCCGCCACCCAGTTTTATTAAAATTGCGCCAGTACTTTTTGTACAGAGCACAAAAACATAACGTCCAAAATGATGGCGTGGGGCTAAAAACAGCTAAAGACTGACATTTCTATAACCCTATATATGGTGCAAATGATAATAACTTAACATGTGAGGTTAAATCCATAATGGGACACCTCTCGTTTACCTGATCAGTCTTTGGGGAGCTTATTTCGCCTCAACTGTGACAGCAAGCCACACACTGTGGGGGTAACCTTTCATGGAATGTGTCTTATCTATCTAATCATTTAGGCAAGCAAGCACACATGTATTTTCATGCATTTGCAGCTGAGAGTAATAACATTTATACATAATATACTCATCATTTTGTATGTATATGTCCTAATTGTACAAAGCTTTGGCAATATGTCATTATGGTCATGCCAATAAAGCTATTTGGATTGAATAACTAATGGTCAATAAGTGTACTGCCGTCACACTGGGTCCAGTATGAGTTACTATTAATATTTCAGAGGCTGCTGTTTAGTTTCCTATGAGGAAAATCAATGGACTGTCTGTTTCCACTGCTCCCGCATGCCTAGATTAAACAATGTTCAGTATTTAAAATCGCCCTCTAGACTGCTGAGAGAGAGGGAGAAAGACGCAGGGAAAGGGGGAGTGGGGAGAGGAAGAGGGGGTGGTATCAGACCGCAGCTGTGAGAGTAATTATGTGCTCGGAAATGTGATCATTTGTGATGAATAATAAATCGATGGCTGAGATAGACTAGCAATGTTTGGCAAACGGAAAGAAAGCTGTGTTATGGGAAACTAGAATCAGGTACAATAATATTATGCATGTGAGGGTGTGTGGGTGAGTTACTGAGACCATGTGTGTGTGTGTGTGTGTGTGTGTGTGTGTGTGTGTGTGTGTGTGTGTGTGTGTGTGTGTGTGTGTGTGTGTGTGTGTGTGTGTGTGTGTGTGTGTGTGTGTGTCCGGGCTTATAAAGGGAGTCTGTGATGTGCTGCATGGTGTGTGTCTTACCTCCTGTATGGTTTTGGAGCCGGGGAAGTTGAGACTGTAGTCCCTCTGAGCCTCCCGGTGGCTGATGACCAGCAGGAAGTTCTGGTTTAAACGACTCCTGGAGACCACTGGATGAGGAGGGAAGAACATACAAGGTGTAAGAAGTAGGGATGAACACAGTGTTATATAAGAAAGGCAACACGAAGATAAGGAATATGTCAAATGGGCAAGGCAGCATGAAGACGCAAGAGGAAGTGAGGGCAGAGCTGGGAGAAGTACTCAGATCTGGCACTTTAGTAAAAGTAGAAGTACTCAGATCTTGTACTTGAGTAAAAGTTGAAGTACTCAGATCTTGTACTTGAGTGAAAGTAGAAGTACTCAGATCTTGTACTTGAGTAAAGTAGAAGTACAAAGATCTTGTACTTGAGTAAAAGTAGAAGTACTCAGATCTTGAACTTGAGTACAAGTAGAAGTACTCAGATCTTGTACTTGAGTAAAAGTAGAAGTACTCAGATCTTGTACTTGAGTGAAAGTAGAAGTACTCAGATCTTGTACTTGAGTAAAGTAGAAGTACACAGATCTTGTACTTGAGTAAAAGTAGAAGTACTCAGATCTTGTACTTGAGTAAAGTAGAAGTACACAGATCTTGTACTTGAGTAAAAGTAGAAGTACTCAGATCTTGTACTTGAGTAAAGTAGAAGTACTCAGATCTTGTACTTGAGTAAAGTAGAAGTACTCAGATCTTGTACTTGAGTAAAGTAGAAGTACTCAGATCTTGTACTTGAGTAAAAGTAGAAGTACTCATATCTTGTACTTGAGTAAAGTAGAAGTACTCAGATCTTGTACTTGAGTAAAAGTAGAAGTACTCAGATCTTGTACTTGAGTAAAGTAGAAGTACTCAGATCTGGCACTTTAGTAAAAGTAGAAGTACTCAGATCTTGTACTTGAGTAAAAGTAGAAGTACTCAGATCTTGTACTTGAGTAAAAGTAAAAGTACTCAGATCTTGTACTTGAGTAAAGTAGAAGTACTCAGATCTTGTACTTGAGTAAAAGTAGAAGTACTCAGATCTTGTACTTGAGTAAAGTAGAAGTACTCAGATCTTGTACTTGAGTAAAAGTAGAAGTACTCCGATCTTGTTCTTGAGTAAAAGTAGAAGTACTCAGATCTTGTACTTGAGTAAAAGTAGAAGTACTCCGATCTTGTTCTTGAGTGAAAGTAGAAGTACTCAGATCTTGTACTTGAGTAAAAGTAGAAGTACTCAGATCTTGTACTTGAGTAAAAGTAGAAGTACTCAGATCTTGTACTTGAGTAAAGTAGAAGTACTCAGATCTTGTACTTTAGTAAAGTAGAAGTACTCAGATCTTGTACTTGAGTAAAGTAGAAGTACTCAGATCTTGTACTTGAGTAAAAGTAGAAGTACAAAAGTGGAGGAATACTCTGTTACAGAGAAAGTCCTGCATTCAAAATGTTGATGTTACTTAAGTTAAAGTACAAAAGTATTAGCATCAAAATATACTTAAATAACCAAAAGTAAAAGTACAGATTATGCAAATTGACCCATTTCAGAATAATATATTAGGTTAAGGTTATTTATTTGTACCCGTAGGTACATTTGATTTGAACAACACAGACAACATACAAATCTCTGCACAGAAAAACAGACATGATCACTATCTGCATATTGAAGTATGAATGCTTGTTGTTCGTATGTTGTCTTCTCCTGAATGTTGTACGTCTCTTGTTGTTGTTGTTGTTGTTTGTATTTTTGATGGCACCAGTAGCTCTACTCATCTCATTGTACCTGTATAATGACACTAAACGATTCTATTCTATTCTAAGAGGCGCGCAGTCATGTGAAAGGCAGGCTGAAACTTGTCCTGTACGGTCTCCTGCGGCCCCCCCCCCCCCCCCCCGCGGTGAAGTGCCCACTTCACTTCTCTGGCTGTGTCTTAACAAGCCTGGTCGGAGCGGCGCTGAGACCACCTGCACCGTCACAGCAGGGGTCTGTCAGTCTGCCTCACTGCTGACACACCTGCCCGCTATTATTACACAGAAACCCAGGAGAGCGCTCGGCACCTTCACAGCTACATATGCTAAAGATTTAAAGAAGGAACTTTTTGTTATATTCCATGGAATACTCTTAACATCCCGACAGCAATGAATACATGAAATGCTTTGACAATAAATACATACAAAAAAGTCATCTGTGGAAGCCGTGGCGCTGTAAAAAGCACGAACAATCGTCTGAGCCGGCCCGGCTAAAGTAACTGGATGGCCTACCTGCCTGTCAGCCTTCCATCTGGGCACAAACTTATCTCGTGCCCTCATTGGTCATGTGCGCGTTCGTGTGTGTTGGAGGAGGGGCTCTGTGAGGAAGTCTGAAGGAAGGGGCAGATTTTCTTCGGCTGCGTACTTTCTAATTCTAGCGCACTCGAGCTGGTTTCTCCATTCTTACCTACCCTACTTTTAATGTCATTATTTCACATTATGATATACTATACTCTCTTTAAAAAATATATGTTTATGATGATTATAGTGTAATCTAGTTTCACAAATTATTTGGGGAAAGGGCAAACAGCCTCAAGAAATCTCTGAATGTACATTCCCAAGATTTAAATATATATATTGTTTCTTTGACCAGTTTAGGCCTATATCTTAGTCCTACATTGAACCATCAATATATTTTAATTCAATAATGAATTTACATCTAAAGATATTAAATATTTAAATTGCATAACTTAAAATGTATTATTGAATTATTATTTAATAATTGTAATTCTCTTTATTTAATTTTCATTTCAGTTCTCTAGAACATGTTTTAGTTTACCTTCCAATGACACGACCAATGATGGTGATTTGGTAATGTATTATTATTTAAGCCCTGGAAAAGACCTTTTGTAAATCCTACCTCGAAACCTGAAGTATGTGTGTATATGTATATATGTACAAACTGTATATGTGTATGAGTTTGCAGTCAAAATGCCATGATATTTGGTTCCCTGACCAAAACGTTGAAATATGATGACTCACAGGAGATTGTATTCATAAGCTCTCTACCCTCCTGCTTCTACTAATGTAATTGTCTAGTACCTTGTCTGTATCGATGTTTGTATTAATAATGAATTGAATCAGTAGACGGAGTAGAGTTTCAAGAATATTTTCCATATTGCGACTTTGATGACAGTATGTTTAATTGTGCATCCCTAATATTACATTCAGTGGTGGGAAATGAAGACACTGTTCACAGGTAACCACTGGTCTGAAATGCGGATGTGGTATTGTGATCGGCAGAGAGCTGGCAGTAAAGACGTGATCTTTAGTGAAAGGTCAGACTCTGGACGGTGTGACGGAGACGCTGTGAACGCACCGCGGACACTTTGTGTGCTTCACGTAGAGAGGAGGAGGAGGTGGGGAATCAACTTTTGGAAGCTTCATTTACAATAAGCCGTGAGGTTAAGTAGCGTTTTGAGCAAACGCCGGGTCTGTGAGGCTGAATATCAATGGGAGGCTTAAGGGCCGAAGCAGGCACTTAATCAGGGCTCAGAACCCGAGGAGAGGAGGAAGAGTTGAGAGAAGGAGAGGGACGGGGGAATTCATATGTAGCGCACACATTAATTATGCAATCACACCCTTAATCTGCGCAGATCTGGACGAGCTTATGTTAACAGAAGCTCAAATTTACTGTAATGACAGCATATTTACATTGACTAAAACTACGAAATCAATATGTAAATGTAATGTTTGTTGTAGCTAACTGAGGAAGATTGGAAATGTGTGGAGTGGGAAGGATGGATGCATATGTAATAGGGGCTGAGCAGAAGGGTGAGAGAGATGTTTGTGCATGTGTGTGAGAGAGGAGGAGATGGAAAGGGGTAGAGACACATAAATAAGGATCTAGCTAATATCATGATTATGTTTGGACACAGTCCCGAGCCACTGCTGGCAGGCAGCTAGACTCCTAAATAGACAGAGATAGAGGGTAAACTGAGTGGAAGTGTTACTCTGTCCTTCCAAGCAAAGAAGGAACATCTTATCAGTGGTTTTATGGCACGGAGACGAGCCATTTGGTGCGCGTGTGGGTGGAGTTCTGTTCAAGATTTACTCTGAGAAATTAGATTGTGCTCTCCATGGAACAAATAAAGCTGCCCGAAATATTAATTACATTGGAAGAAGGAGAGAATGTCCCATGTGTCTGAAGAGGCCTGCTGCTTCATATATAAACAAAACAACTAAATATGTTTAAGTGTAGTTTTGTCTAGACTGCTTTCACCACTGATGTTGTTTTAAAGAGGACATATTATGCTAATTTTTAGGTACATATTAGTATTGTGTGTCTCTACTGTGTCATGTCTCCATGCTTTAATGTTCAAAAAGCTCTTAATTTTCTCATACTGCAGCACCTCTTTTCACCCTCTGTCTGAAACCAGAGCCCAGTCTGCTCGGATTGGTTAGCTAGCCAGCTCTGTTGTGATTGTGATTAGAGGCCTTTGCAGACCATTAACATGCACTGAAACCCATATAACACTACAGGAAAGGGAGAACTGAAAAAGCAGAATAGGGCCCCTTTAAAGAAGGCCCTTGAAGCAGCGCAGGGGGGGATGTGGATGTCTGAGTGTTTGCTTCTGCCTTCAGAGGTCTCTTTCTCGCTCAGCACACACACACTCGTGACATCCAGGTCGGCCTGAAACATCTCTGGAGGTACTTGACATGGCATAAGGGTGCCGGGAGGAAAATGTCATTTAACTTTATGGACAGAGAAAATGGAGCGTTTTGCAGGGGAGAGGAGCAGGCTAAACAGATTGGTTTCATTCTGAGGTAAGCCCGGCGCCTAAGCTGAGAGTCCCCGCGGCACAGAGCAGACTCTAGACCTTATTAAACTAGCACTGCCAGAGAGACACACACACACACACACACACACACACACACACACACACACACACACACACACACACACACACAGTATGTTTGTTCCCTTTAAGAGGAGGTCATGAAGGACTTCTTACCTCTTCCACATTTTGCATCCACAACAGAGCAGAAGAATGCCGAACCGATGACGCGTTGCTCTGTTTTGCTCTGCCATCTTGTCCCAAAGTTAACCAGCATTGCTAACTGCTAGA